CGACCGGAAGAGGTGCTGCCGCCAGTAAAAGCCCCATCCGCTACCGGGGATAGGAACCCTAATCGCCGCCATATGCAATGAATCGGAGGGGCGAACATCAGAGGGATGAGGAAGGCCAATCGGCCAGAAAATGGATGGACTACAAGCGCAGAGATGGGATCGGAGCTATCGCGAGAGTTATATTATTTTTATGAAAATTGTTGCTAATAACTTTGGGTTTAATTAAGATTCAATATTTTTCTTAACTTTTGATGAATGAAGAATAAAATAAAAATTACATTCTTAAAATTAAGTTAATATATAATAAAATTGCACAACTATCAAGGGATAAAGCTTAACCCAACTATACAATTATTGAATAATTATTTCAAAAAAAAAAAAAAAATCATTAAAAATAAAGATGAAAAAGTGATTATTTAAAAAAATAAAATACATTGAAACTTTCAATAAATATATATGATAAAAATGTAACTTCTATAGTTAATGTTATAAAAATAATAATGAATAATTAAAAGAATCTACATAAACGAACAACATACTTAAAAAATAATCCCCCTATATATTAATACAGAACGCGCTGAGCCTACGTGCTGCTTCTGGTGCTTCGAAATCCTATGTGGCAAAATTACATATTTCGTTATTAGGCTTGAGAAAATTTTAATTTAATTCCAAACCAAAAATCATTAGGTTCGAATTACCATAAATATGTAGATTATTTATGGTCATGTTACATGTATTAATTGTATTTTAATACCATTCTTTATTATACTATTGAATTGTATATATATTTTAAAAGTTAATAACTTTTGTATTTTTTATCAGTTTTACATATGTAATATATCAAATTAATCTTCTTTTGATGAGCTTCGATTTAACATCCATATTGTATGTATAAAAAAATAATAATTTATATTTATCTTTATAACAATAATAACATTATTTTTAATATTTATTAGAAAAATAATATTATTTATCAACTAATATATTTATATTTCAAGTAGTTATATGATATAAGTTTTAAAAACTAATATAATATAACACATGTAAGTCATAAGTAACACATATCATTCTATAATATATAATAATATATTTTTTAAAAAAAAAAAGTAAACTAAATTTAATATATTTTTCTCATTAATTTTAAAATTTAATAATATTTTTTTTAACAAGCACCTGTGTAATACACGGGTGTTGTACTAGTAGTTTTTATTTTCAAATTATGTTAGTGGTGTTGTAGCTAACAATATAAGAGAAAATAAACATTTTTTTTTTTCATAGTTACTTTTTTTATGAGACAAAAAGGAAAAAAATAAATTAGATATTCCCCATCTGATGTCAAAAAGAAAAGGAAACTAACGAACGTAATCCCTATATACATTTTTGCCACAAAAGAATATCTGGATTTCAATCTGACCGTCCGTTGAGATCCTTATCAACGGCCAAAATCCACGATCCGCGTACCACCATACCATTGGTCCCCTTTTTTTAGACCCCAATCCTTATATAATCGAACTCGCCCCTTCTCGTTCATCACTCTAATTACAAGCTTCTGTTTTGCTGTCGCTCCCTTTGCACATACACAAACACCAATTATCCCCAATTTTCTTCTCTTTTGTTCTTTGAATTTCGGAAAAATGGCAGGCCGGGGCAAGACTCTCGGATCTGGGGCTGCAAAGAAGGCACAATCGAGGAGCAGCAAGGCTGGGCTGCAGTTTCCCGTCGGCCGTATCGCCCGTTTCCTCAAGGCCGGCAAGTATGCCGAGCGCGTCGGCGCCGGAGCTCCGGTCTATCTGGCTGCTGTCCTTGAATATCTCGCCGCTGAGGTAATTCTTGCTATTCTAAAGAACCTTATCGGCTCGTACCCTGTAACCCCCAATATTAGAATTTGCGAATCTAGGGTTTCGAATTTGTGGTTAAACTAGGCCGATTGTAGTCGCTTTGCACCCAATTCTCCAAATTGTTAAATTGATTGATTTAATTTTGAATTGTACGTGGAAAGGTGCTGGAATTGGCCGGGAACGCTGCCAGGGACAACAAGAAAACAAGGATTGTGCCTCGGCACATTCAGTTGGCGGTGAGGAACGATGAAGAATTGAGCAAGCTTTTGGGTGACGTGACGATTGCCAATGGCGGTGTGATGCCTAACATCCACAACCTTCTGCTGCCGAAGAAGGCTGGCTCCTCAAAGCTTTCTGCTGATGATGAATGAATAGGTGATGGGGTGAGAGGCAAAGAGGAACACAAGTGACTTTTGAATCTAGGTTTTATTGAGTTTATGTTCTTGGTTATGGGGTTTTGGCCATGGCTGGTGTAGGGTTTGTGCATACAAATGAAATGTATCAAGATTGAAACTTCATTTTATCAGATATAGAGATAATCCTGGCTTTATTTTATTGGGCTCTTTATATTATTTTGCTAATTTGTATTTGACACAAATCTTATCTTGTTAACCAAAAATTGAAATTTCTCAAAAAACTAATCTTTTTTTTTTTTCCTTCAAATTTTGGATATAGATGGTATGTGATATTTGAATTGATCCAATTATAGTAAATGAAATTTGGTGCTGTGACTCTAATGACATTGAGGTACTTGAATGATAATTTGGTGCTTCAATGGTACAATTTTGGGTTTTTGAATGATAATTTTTATGTGCATTAAATCATGTAAATTTTGTCACCTATGAAGTAATCTTGGAGATACATATGATCTTAAATAGTGAAATTTGAGTGATCTTGGAGATACAACTTTGGGTGTTGTTAGACGTGGCCACGTGCCGCCCGGCCCGCCTACCGGTCCTGACCTGGCCCGGGTTTTGGCCATGTCTAGGTGTTTGTTATAGTTTATAATCCTGTTACAAATTTCACAAACTTCTGGAAACAAAGAAAATTCTATTTATTAGATTTTAGAAGCACCGATGATCATAATAAAAAAAGAATCGTATAATTTTCCATTGCATTCTTCTATACACTGTCAAATAAGTTCGTCCATGAAAAAGTACATTAGTTGGAAAGATATATAAACAAAAACTAAGAAAAAATGAAGCTCCCTAATCTCAGATGCCCAAAAAATGGAGCAAGCTAGAAACACACTTCCACCCTACTCTATTATTGTGAGTCTCCATTACTCATCATCCTCCCAGCTTCAACTTGAACAGCCTTCTTCTGGTTGGGCGCTGCCTTTGGCGACTGCTCCTTCCCAACCATCGTCATATTCTTCACCTCCTTACAGACCTTATCCAAAATGACGAGAAAGTCACGCACTATCAGAAACAGCCTGTGGCCCTCCTCCTTGCCTGCCGCATTACCGTGGAAGTAATCCGCCGTGCTCTTCATCAGCGCGGTTATCCTTTTCTCCTCGTCCACCAACCACTTCACCTCCCCTTCCGCATCCTGCACAAAACACCTCAATGCCTCACAAAACCCGTCATCCTCATCGGCCTCCTTCATGTCGCTGCTCAAAAAGTTGCCAACATTGACAAGGGCCCGGCCCATCTTGGCCACAGTGCACGTGAGCCCATCCAAGTCGAGAATGGCGGCTCGCTTGACATTCTGGAGCTCGTTACCCAGGGAAGAGACGATCTGAAGGCCCACGCTCCGGAGGTAATCGTCCGATTCCTGGGGGTGGTTGATATCGTCCATGAGGTCCTCAGACTTGAAGCTTGACATGCTGCGCATCTCGCGGGCCGCACGGGCTGCCCGGACGCCCTCCGAGCGGATAATCTCCTGCACCACAAAGTGGAGAAGCGTGGTCTTGCCATCGATGCCCCTGACATCCGAGAGCTTGAGAAGGGTGTCGAGCTTGAATGCCTGGGCCCGCCCGCGGAAGGTCCCGTCGTTCATGCGGTTGCCTGTTTTGAGGACAGCCTCCAGTAGCTTCAGGAAAAGTCTGCTCTTCCGCACCTCCGTGCATGCAGCCTGTCGGTATATGGCCACATCATAATAACCACCACACCTATTTTGTGTGTGTGTGTGCGTGTGTGTGTGTGTGTGTTCGCCTCTTTTTTCAAGTGATACTAATAGCAGTTAAGATATTCAAGACTCTATTACTCAGTCAGCATTTTTCGAAATCTAATGGATAACATGGCTGTTCACGAGTATTTGTTGATAGATCCATTTATGGAACACTTGAAATAAAAAAGTAATGTTCTGGATATAATTAGCAGGAAAAAGAAAATCTTACTTCCAAGATTGCAAAGGACTCTTTTAAAGTTGCTGCCTCGTTCTCGAGAGTGCACATAAATAGCAGGCATTCTAGCCTCTTAAAAGCAAATGGAAGCTCGACCATAACTTTCAGAAAACGCTCTGCCGGAACCAATCTAGACAGATCGCCATCAAAGAGTCTCAACTTTAATTCTTCTTCGGCAGTTGGTGCCATCTTTAGCAAAGTCTGAATTAGTTCTGGAGGGAGTTCATTACCTAATGCGTTCGAAATATTATTAGCTGGTTTCTCAATGGTGATTGAAAGAATTTACGTCATCCAAGCCGTGTCTTAAGAAAACGAAGTAAATAACATAAAAGAACAGACTGAGAGATAATGAAATATAAAATCTATTAAGGTTCCTTTCTGATTACAAGCACATGTTAAAAGATTCAAGTTGGGGAAGAGTCATACCCCAAAGTAACAACTTTTAGCAAGGATTTCTATTGCTGATATAAGTACTGAGAAACGTTATTGTCTTGATACAGTTCTTTTTTGAAGACTTCAACTAATAGACAAGGGTAGTGAACCATGCAGCTAAATTCAATAGTGAAGTCTTGTTATAGCTATACATCTCATCCACTCAGAACATTCAATATTTAGTCCAGTTAACCTATGCAATTTAGTTATTATTCGATTCATTAAGTCAAAATTTAACGAAAGTGAGATGCCCTTTTTCATGGTTGCTCAGCCATACTCATATCTTC